GGACGGAGGCCCCCAGCTATGAGATGACGCACTGGTTGTTATTATCACGGCCGGTTTTGGTCACAGGAATGGCAGACCGGCAGTTAAGTGACTTCCCTCTAGCCACCAAAGCAGATGACGTCGAACGTCATCCGATACGGGAACCACATGACTGATAGGATCCCGTTTGGGCTGATAGCAGGAAAGCAGGTGAAGCTGAAGGGGGGACTGAGCTGAGTGAAAAAGGGATACGCATTGCCGGAGATTGGCAATGCGATCCGCCTTCGGGGCAATGATAACTCTACGGAGATCGAGTTCTGCTGCGAGGTCAATCGAGAACTGCGATGGAGACAGTTTTGACTTCTCTCAATGGATGATGAAGCCCAGGTGAGAAAAACGGTTGTAGGTTAGACGAGTTGATGCTATTGCCTCTTCTACGGTGCAACCCACGATTAGCCAATCGTCCAGGTACTGGAATATGAGCATGTCCAGCTGGCGTAGATGGGTGGCAACGGTCTTCGTGACTCGAGTGAAAACCCTGGGAGATGTTGAAAGACCAAACGGTAGGGCCTGGAATTCATAGACTTGACTCTTGTACTAAGGGGAAAAACTTCCGGTCTGTCTTGTGGATGGGAATGTGAAGATATGCGTCCCGGAGGTCGCACATCGACGCCCAGGACGGTGTTGGATGGAGCTTGTTACAGTATGGTTTCCATCCTGAATTTCCGTGGCCGGATGTACTTGTTGAGAGGGGCTTGAGATTGATTATTGGTCGCCACTTGTTTGTCTCCTTCTTAAGGGCAAGAAAGAAGGTAGACAGGAAACCGTCTGTCATGCCGTCGGAATGGACGTGACTGACGGCATTTTTCTGAAGCAGGGAGTGAAGTTTGGCCTCCAGAGCTAGGCGTTTGTCTTTGTTGCCCAGCCCGGGTCGGACGTAACATGGCCTCGGACAGAGGGGCACTCGTAAACTCGAGGGAGTAGCCGTGGGTGATGGTTGCCAGAACCCATTCGTCCGAGGTGATCTCCTACCAAAACCCTGTGAATTTCTGTAGACGGCCACCGACGGGTTCGAGATTGGCGGTCGCGGAATGTGAAGTGGCGCAGTCATCGGCTATGACCCCCGAAGTAACGAGGGCACGCAACGAAGATCCTCAAGTCGACCGTGGCCAGGTGGGTTTGGTCGAGGCACGGACTGAGGCATGACGCTGGGTCAGTTGTGGGAGCGGAGGGCGAAAAGAATGTGTCCTAGGAAGACGCGGCTTGTGATGCTGAGGGTGACACAGCTGAGTTTGCTACAAAGTTGGAGTCATTGGCTCCCAGAAGGAGAGTTTCTTTGTGGTGTCGATGCATTTGGCTTCGGCCTCAAGAGATTCCACAAACTTGCCGGCGAAGAGATCCTTGCCAGGAAGTGGGAGATCTTGAAGTCTAGACTTCACACCTTCATGAGGGATATGCATCGCCTCCAAGGCTTTGGCTTTGCGGGTGGAGGAAGCCAGGCAGGAGATCTGAGTGAATTGCTCGAAGGTGAGGGCCAAGCCCTCATCTAGGCCCCAGAGCGCCACAACCGCGAAGTCTGGGGACACTGGTGAGTTCTCCTCGCATGCATATGCGATGTATTCCGAGAGGAGGAGGAAGGCTGAACAGCAAGGGCCAAGGTGAGAAACCTTGTCCAGTTTAACCAGGGCTGACTCGAGGCAGGACTTGTCGCTATCGCGGAAGATCGACTTCCAAGGGGCCTTGCTCGAGTCGGCGATGATTTTATCTCGGGCTGCATCTGGAATTTCTGGCACCGATAAGAAGTTATCGTAGTCCTCCCTTGGGAAGTGGTAATAAGCCAGGGCCCTAGGAGGATAAGGGCACCAGTGTGAGGCCTTGCTGACTGAATCGAAGATCTCGATGCGAGAGCGGTCAAGCGGAATCTCTGGGAAAGTTGGACCCAAAGACTCTAGTCTGGTCGCATGGCGTTTGAAGGAGGCAGGGCCGGTGCTCCTCTCGGGGGGGGGAGCAGGAGCCGGAAGGCTGAGGACTTGGATCATATCACGCTGCAGGAGATGGAGCCGGCCTTCAGAGGGGTTGAGGTCGCCCGTCGAGTCGGCGTTGTGTTGGCGTCGTCTTCTCCTGACAATGGTGTCTGCTGCTCAGAGTGAGGTGCAGCCATGCCAGGGTCAGATCCATGGGTGCTCCAGCATGTGACTGAAGCTTCCGGAAAGGGGACGCCACCTTGGCCCAGGCTTTGGTGAGTACCATGCTCTGAGTAGTCGTCCCTAACTGCGGAGCAGGTTGAGGCTGCGGGAGCCGGGGGAGAAAGGTCCGGGTCCGGAGCGGTGGAAACTGGCGTGGGTCTGTCGCTCAGGCAGCGAACTAAGGACAGAGATTCATTGATGGACTGGAAAGCTGTTATCCATGGCTCACAGCCATTCGAAAGCGCTCTCTCAAGTGGTTAGGCCACAACCCACAATTGCTGCTACAATAAGGAAAATGCACGCTCTCTCATGCAGCAATTGTTGTGTGGATTATCCGGGCCGCTTGATCGAACGAACGCACCACACAAGCGGCCTGGCCTATGGGGAGTGTAGGGTTGACCGTTCCTCATAGCACTCATGGTAACTACCTGAAGAATGCACACACAAACAAAAAGAGAAAAAGGGCAAAAATCACTCTTACCAACACAAATGAAATCACACAAGGTAAAGGTTTATTCAAAAACGATGACTGGATGATAAGTCAACACAGAACTGTGTAGCGAAAACGGAGATGTCTAATATGGCGCTGAGAAAAGAAGGACGATCATGACAGCGAGACCGCAGTGCATACTGGGAGGTCGTAAGGCATCTAGGATGATAAAGTCTTATTCAGCAAATGGCCTAGCGTGCATGGAAAATTTGCATATGTAGTGCCCGTTTAGGTAGAGCGCAGTAGACTCATCATTTTTAAAATTTAGCCTGTCAGACTCTGTATACGTGAAACTATTTTCTTTGTGGAGTTTTTAGGTTGGGTTGTTTTGGATTTGTTGTTTGACTTTGTATTTGTAGAGACCTAGAGCCGGTCTCAAAGACCAGAGGATACATTGTTGATCTTTGTTTTTTACGTTTACGATGGATTTTTACAATGTAAAAACTTGGGAAGAGGCACATAAAAACGTTCTCTTAAAGGTCGAAATAGAGACACGTTAATGCAAAACGCAACAATAAGATCGAGGACCCAGCCCGATCCTCTCTATTTAAACTCGTTGATTTTTTGCAAAAGTTCTTCTTGTTGCTTTTTTTAACACCTATTTCGCGTGTAAAGTATTTAACACGACGGTAATTCTACTACAAACATGCCTGTAACAGTGTCTTCTTGGTCCGGTCTTTCTTTGATAAACTGGACTTTAATGGCCATTTGTAGTTTGATGTTACCCAACTCTCTCAACTTAGATGTGACTTTTGCTTCTATATCTCTTTCATGAAAACTACAAAGCTCGGTGTCTGTCAAAGAGTAGAGGACACAGTTCCCAGTTTTCAACGTAAATGTCTGATATTTCTGAAGTCTGCTTCTACAAAAGTTTCCAGAGGCGTGCAGGCTTTGATCGCAAGGATAAAGTCTTTCCTGAGATACTGACCTTGTATAACCTTAGGTTCTCTTTATTATTTACATTACTTTTTAAACGTAAGGTTCTATTTTAACGTTAGGTTGTATTTATTAAGCTACATTACAACTTGTTTCTCACACTCGTTACATGTGTGTTTATGTTGACCGTGCTCACATCGGCTTGGTGTACAGATAAAACAAGCCGACTTGTATTTTTTATGCTCCCAAGAAAGATTTTTCTGGCAATAGTTTTACTTTTGGGTTCACTTTCAATTCGAAGATTGGTCTGCAAAAGGAGCAGTTGTATTTATAAAGTCTGTGTTCGCAATTTCTCCAGCGTTATGGCGATCTAAAGAACACAAACTGTACCAATGGTTGACATCCAATACACTTTTTAACTTCCATGATTAGATATAGTGCATCATCTATTTTGTTAATCGGTAATATTTTATAAGTTTTCTGTTATACAAACCATAGTTCGTCGACTTAACCGCGCCTTGGGCCCCAGTCTTTGCTCCAGGCTTGAGGCCGACCACCAATAAATTGTTTTATGGCAATTTATTTTATATCAATGATCATTGTGTTAAATTTTAGATAAATGAACCATTTACGGTGAAGTTATTCTCGGTGACGAAGAAGGAAAGGCAAAATACACTGTCAGCTCCTGCTTGATTTGTGCATTGAGTGAGCATCGTTTCCTCATTTACATACACTTGGCAGGATTCTGCCGGATTCATTCATTACCCGCTACTGGTCCCTACGTTTGGAGGAGGTCTGTAAGACGCCTGGAGACTTTTACGGGACGGGAACCAGTCCAGTGCGTTCATTACTCATATGATGCAAGATATGGGGCGGAGAGAACCCCCCCCGCCTTTGTGATCATTGTTTGATCGGAATTCAGGAATTCTTTACAGACTTCTAGGGGGGATGTGTTAGGTAACAATAGTGTAGAGTGTGTATAGGGATTAGACATGGGGGGTTACCCATCGGCCCCATATCGTGCACGATATCTCATTACTGGTTTTGCGAGTGCGCGATCATGTCTCATGGAATTCCTGATCTGCCAGGGGGCAGTATAGAACCCCTATTACATCTGGTTTGTTACTTCGTCATACAGGCCGACACACCACTGATCGCAGGCTCCCATTGGGCGAATATTAAAGTTGCGCGTTAACCTCCGGTTCCATGGTTCCATATAATCTATGTGCAGTGGGCGTGGTTTAAACTGAAGGGAGCTCACACTTGCAAACCGGATTGAGATAATGGAGATATTGCACTATAAAACCATATGTGCGCAGAGTATTGAAGTGAATATGTCACGCACATAACTATGCACGTAAAAGGTATTAGTGTGAGAACATGCGTGTCAATCAACATACGCACGTATTCCATTTGTTTGCACTACACTTACTGGTTCAATAAAAAAAAGGTGTCACTCTTGGGTAATCTATTGTGTACATGAACATCCAAATTCACCAATGTGCATGCATACTGTTTATTCACCAAAATGCCAATACTGAAGACAGCATCTTTACTTCAGGGATTTAATAATCAAGTATTTAATAAAGTGGACAATGCAGTTCTTCATTAGGGTTAAACACATGCAATCCATTGCTTTCTTGTCATCCAATCCCATGCTGCATTGTGTATGTCAAAAAGGCTTCTTCATAGCTTTTCCAAAACAACATGGAGCTGCTATCTCTGCCTTCAGACAGAATATTTCATAAATCTCACATTCAGTAAAAGACAAAGATTTCTGGCTACTACTTGAGGAACTACACGGGATAGTGAATTGAAGTCTTCAAGTATCTGACTACTAAGTGCAATTTCCCTGAACAGGAACTCTTTGCAATATGTAGGGCCATCAAGGCATATACAGTACTACTCAAAGTGGCCATTTTTTTTCTTTGCAGTAGACATGTTGCATAATGCTGATAGCAGTCTGTCATTAATCTTTTCTGTCGACATGTAATATGGCAAAGGCATCTCAAAACGTTAATTATATGTTCATTATTATTTTCAAAAACTACACCTTAAATTTGGACCATACAAAATATCAAAACTACCCAAATCTTATGCCTTGGGAGTGCTATGTTGAAGAAACCGAATAGTGTGCAGATACATGTATCTACCATTTTCTAATAGAGTGCTTTGAAAAGTGGCCTCTCCATGTTAACTTTTGGTAACATACTGTGCTGTGAATAGCTCCTATTGTCTTACAAAACATGTATCAAATGTGAACGGTAACAATTGCTATATCTTTCTAATAGCTTTAGATTCATGTACAAAAAAGTAGCACAATTTCTTCAATTTGGAAATTTCAAAATTCCATTTGCTTAATGTCAGCCAACCTTGCAGTGTGCACAGTATGTGTGATGTATTCCAAGACTAGATGGTTGGATTTCAAACAGCAGAAAAATCTATTTCTGCCTCCCACAGTAATAAGTCCACTGAGTACTGGTTTCAATGAAGCTAATTACAAATAAAGCTAAAAATTATAAATGATTGAATTTCCTGCATTGACTTTGTGTTTGTAAAGCACCCTTCTGCATGAATTTCTTTTTTATGATTATCTACATGTGAGCTCTTTCCTGTCCCATTATTTGCTGTTTCAATTTACAAAAAGTGTCTGTCAAACGATGATCACATGTTGGTGGAAAGAGTTTTCAAAATTAAAAAAATCTACAAATTAAACAAATGCAATTGTTTTACTTACACCGGTGCTGAGGTAAAATACTGCCATACTTTAAACTATACCACCAATGGAGAAAAGTGTTGATTCATTCTTCCACCTTCGGTAATATTGACTTACATGTATATTGGAGGGTGTTTAGGCTCATGCATCATACACGTTGACTGTTATAGCCAACATACATCTACATGTGTATCACATGTAGATAAAGCGTACACAAGTTCTTTTTTCATTGTTTACTTCTAATACTGCTCAATCTACATGTACCTCCTCAATTTCCTACACATCTAGTGTGGTTGCCTCTTTCTTGACTGCATGCACTGCATAGTTACAAGTCGTAGGAGTTCCCCAGAACCATCGCTTCGTTACAGGGTTGAATATCATACCATGAACCAACTTTGTTTGACAATTGCCTGTTGAAAACAATGAAAAATACATCACACATTCATTTGATGGTAACCAAACTATGCTCTATTTTTTCACTGTACATTTAACAATTATTCATAAGTACCCACAGCAGTTACCCATTCCTGTTGGTTGAGGGCCCACCACTTGGACAGCCTAAATGGGTAATAAAACAACATCTAGGTTTGTGTCATTTAAATTATATTGTGTACAGTAACATAGGCAAAAACAAGTTATATGACAGAGGGCTGTAAACAAAGATATGAAACAAATGCACAAAATGGCAAAATGACCAAGTTAATAAAAACATTTCAGAGACTTTCGCTGAACTATATGAAAATATAATTATCAATGGGAATAAAGAAATGTGTTTGGCTGGTCTTAAGTTTGTATAAGACTGGCTGGGCTTCAGAGAGTAGATGGCTACAGATGGTTATGAGTTCCTTCAGTGATAAAATATATCCCAAATCACAGCCATTAAGAATTGCTTTGTTACGCCTATGTCTTAAATTTCTGTGCATTTTTCCCCTTTTCACTCAAAGGTCCTAAGTTCAATCAGAAGGAGCGTCTCATTCCTTTTCTATAAAGAACTTCTCAGTCCATTGTTGCACAGACAATGGACATATGCAGACTTAGTGCATCATTGTATTGGTCTGATTGTGTTAGTCACACGTCTTGCTGAAAAAGAATGTCTTTAGGGCCTACACTTTACAAACCATTTTTAAGGAAATGTGTACTTGGTTCCTGTATTATTGTGGTAACTCTATAATCGCGATATCAGAAATTTTAAATTTTGCATTGCCAGTGAGTTCTCAATCGGCAATATTCACTCAGGTAATCAAATTATGGCCTGAGGAATAAGTCTTATTAAAACAGAATGGAAAATTGTGCATGTTTGTGTAAGTTTTGATATTTTTTAATAAAAAGGTAATTTTTCCAAAATTTGAAAATTTTCTGTGTTAGTCATTCCGTCGCCCTACCCTTGGATATCTGTTGCTGGGTTCCAATTCCCACGTCACTTCTGAAATGGTCAAAGGTGTCTTAACCACTTCCTGCTGGGCAACCCGTTTTCGAGTACATAGGCTTTATATGCAGAGCTGGGAACCCGGAACTGGGACAAAAGAGCTGGGTCTTATAACAAAAGACCGTGCTCAGCACAAAAGACTGAGCTGCTGGGCATTACAGACATTTTTTTTGCTCTCAATAGTGGAGAAAATCCAGCCTTGTTTTGAAACAGTATACCTCGGTTTGAGGCATTTAGAACGAGCGGATTACCACTGGGGACAAAAGCTCTCCACCACCGCAGCGATGACCCACACAGCACTGCTGACCCACACAGCACCGCTGCACGCTGATCTGGCCCCTATTGAAAAGAGGTCAGCAGTGCACTCTGCCGATTTCGGGGAAAAAAGAATCTTACGTAACACCACACAATCTGGGCTCTTTTCCAAGGCTGCGGGCCTGGCTGAAATATTCAGGGGTCAATGAAGATCAACTGTCAGCTTTAGAGTAGTACCCAAAGAGTCCTTCACGTGGCCATTTAATGCAACAATGAATTTTTGAAGAAGTTTGAAAACGGAAAATCTTGAAAAGGACCCGTTATCTTGTCTTGCTCAAGAATAATCACCCAGCAAGAAGTGGTTAAAGGCCATCGTAGAAACCATTTCTCGGTACCACGATACCTCCAATTGAATACGGTGCGCACACTTATTTTCTGAATAATCACAGAGGAAAATAAATTGAACCACAAACAAATTTTTATGAATCAAGTTAAAAAGTAAGTTAAACAACAAGAAGAATAGGATAATTTGGGAAGGTGAGCGAGCACTCTTTATTTTGATTGGGAAATGTGGTAACTACCATGATAATACAGTAACCCATCCTATATTGGAACTTATGGCAAAAAGCATACCCCAAATGGATTTAAACCTCAAAAATTGCTGTGCTCCAACAGCTCTTGTTAAAAAAAAACACCGGTGAGATTTGAGGAAACTGAAAAATCTGTGAAAAATGTATCTTACGTTTGTCTCTAAATCCCCAATTTCAACAATTTATTGCACAGGAACCTGTGGTATCCTTGCTTGTTGATTTTCAGATTAATTACTGATAATATTTATCTTCCCCTTTCAAGCCTCTTGTTCCACCTGGCTTTTGAGCTGCAAAAATATCCATGGATTTTTAAAGCCTTTACGAAAGTGAAAGTTCACCAAGATTGATAATTTTAAGGGAATGAGAACCATTTTGATCAATCAAAGCGACAATAAACATCTTAAAGAACTGCACGTAACAAACAAAATGGCGGCTGAGTTTTCCGTGAACGCAGGCAGTACTGCAGTGCATGGCACATGTACAGTTAAAAGCAAAGTAGTTCCGAAGGGTGACATCATGCCGTACTGCATTGGTTTCCACCATGCCTTGCACATACACCCAATGGAATCGAGGTTGAGTTGGAAGCAGTGCGAAGTCGTTATGGTTTAAATTAATACCAGTATGGTATTGGTAATACCATATCAGTGGTATTCCAGTGGGAGTGTCAACACAAGAGTGCATGCGCTATCAAAACCTCAACTTGCACAAATCCTGCATTCCCTTTCATGCAAAATTTGGAAATACTACTTCTAATTCTAGTAAAGTCATGCCAAGTAGAAAAATCCATAATTCTTGGATTCACTTTTCCAAAAATCTGGAAATCCAGAAAAATCTGGAAAAATTTCACCCCTGTTTATACCTTGGTCATAAAACGTGAATTTGTATTGGTCGTAAATTATGTGATATGCCACAATTAGCACACGTCATTTATGATCGAGTGTGGTTCGAATCAATTAATGTTCTTGTGCTACATAGCGAGTGCACCAGTGTTTGAAAAAAAACCCACAAACTCTGACTTCATATCTCTCCTTGACCCCTAGCTGACCTACATGTACATGTATGACCTCTACTCCTAACTACACACCGAGTGCCAAAAGTGCTCTTTGTACTGGATGTAAAAAATTTGTTTGCCACTAGCTGAACGGTTTTGTCCAGGAATAATGACCACGGATGAAGCAAACAGATATGTTAACAAAATGAAAGATTAAAGCTGATACACACGTTAAAATAGATGATGATCATGATAGAATCAATACTCAACATGCTGACATGACAAACTATGCCAATGCGTGGCATCTGCATGGCAATTTGCCACATGCTCAGGGCACAAATGTACATGACACTTAAGATTGGTCCCATTTGAGAGGTGGACTGCCTTTCACGCTTTCATTCCTTAAGTTGTGAAAGTGATAGTGAGGGTAGCCAATGCCTCCTCGTTAAAGGTTGCAGTCATTATGCCAGGGACAGATATTTTTTTTTTGATCATGTAGAAGAAATGCATGATTGTAGACCTGATACTGATTTCTACCAAAGCCCTCATGGTTTTTCATGCACGTCATCTCCAGCCAGTACCACATCCAGGCCACCAGTAGATGGTATATAATCTGACATTGTCAGTTTTTGTTCAGGGGTTCACTACGTGACACTCTAAAAGATGCGAGTAGGGAGTCCAGTTGTAGGTCTTATTCAATACCTGAACCTGGCACATGAAGAGCAAGGAAGTATCGCTCTTTCTCTAGTACCAGTAGCAGGTCTGAAAGGAGCAGGGCTAGAGCAAGGGCTCAGTCTGACGTTTGTTCGTCAGTTCTGGCTTCTCCTCATTGCCGCCAGGATGATACTTTGTCAGTCAATGCTGCCAAAGTCAATAATGATAAATCATATGTTGACAAAACCTGGCAATGTGAAAGACAAACCACACTCTAAACTGGTTAATCCTCATGAGGTCAAAGGCACATTATTTGATCAGGACGTGCTTGACAGACGAAAACAGCAACACACCTATGTGCTATAACAGAGGCCCCCCCAATTTTTTTTTTAAATGAGCTGTTAGGACTTAAAACCAGATCCTTTGATTGAAGCCAATTTGATGACTCCTCATATGCCTAAACCAATTTGCATATCCTTGAAAAAACCTAAGTTTAAGATACAGAAGAGTGATAATTCAATCTGGTGATTATTCAAGAGGTCTTGCTCAGAGCTGCAATTCAATTGATTAAAGGTAGTAGAAAGCTGAACAAACGTCTGAAGGAGGCCAGGACATAAAACAACTGCTGGCCTCGGCAAAAAGCCTTTGGGCTTGGTAAAACAGTGGGTGTCTGTTTTTTGGCAGAGCCATTTCAAACTTTTCATTAATAAGGTCTGAAAATTCTGAAAGTGAACTCTTAATTAAGCCATGCATATAGAATATGATTCACTTCAATTGTGGAAGTTTATATTCACATGCATGTAAATACTGGGATTCCACTAATTTTGCTGGAGCAGAGATATACATGTAGTACATGTAACCTGATACCAATTTTTGTTTGAAACTTGATGTTGACAGGCAGTGTTTCCCAATTCTCTGATTCATTATTTGCAGAATTTCAAGAGATTCACCATGGCTCAAACATGTGGCATGGGGATGCTCTTTTGATGAAAAAAGGAGAAAGAAATTTCATTCCTCTTAATCCCAATGGAGGTCACCAGAATAAGAATATTTGGTGTATTTGTCAAACTTTATTTTGTGTTTGGTTATGCCACCCTGTATTTATGAATAGGTTGCCTGCATTTAGAAATTTTATCTAAATGTACATGTCATTTGGAAATCTTACACCACCCATTCACATGAATGACTTTACACTGTATGATGTAGGTAACTACTGTCCACTTAATAAAACTGCTAGTTTAAATAACAGTGTTTACCTGCAGTACAGTTGATTTCACAGTGACAAAAGATGGGACAGGGTTTGAGCATATTACTCCATGTGTCATCTTTATTTACATTGACTGACTTGATGAAAATTCATGTTATGCTAATGCAACAAAATATTTTATACTACTACATTGAACATAACAAAGTAAATATTTATTTATGTAAAAAATGAAATAGTTAATAATATGCACTGATGTGTACAGATGAAATTAAAAGTTTTAGCTGTTC